CTCACAGGGCGCTTTGGCCGAGTGGTTAAGGCGGCAGACTCGAATTAACGAAATCTGCTGGAGTTTCTCCTCACATGTTCGAATCATGTAGGCGTCGACATCTTTTTGCCTGTTTGGCACAGCGTTACCGGGCTGTTCCACCTCCCGGTCTACATTTTTCGCCAACCAGGTCTGGACTTCGCCTGTTTCTCATTGGTGCCCTGCAACGGAAGTCCCTTGGCGAATTCATCACGTGATACTCGATTTCAATCCAAACTTTTCTGCGACCCGATATCGTCGGCTGAGCTCTGCAACATTGCTACTTGTCACAATGCCTACGATTAGAGTAGAAGCTAAAGACAAGAAGACAACATCGTTGGCAAAGGCTCTTCCGATATCCCTCAAGCTCCAGGATGCCGATACGGTCTATTCTTTGAAGCAGCAGCTGCAGTCGCACTTCCCTCGGGTTCGTTACGCGCTTTACTACGAGCAGGATAGCTTAGCTAACTTTTGTTTCACGTCAAGCTTCCTATCTCCCAGCAACGATTGACACTCTCGTCCGGGAAGGCTCTTGAGAACGAGACAAAAGTTGGGGAGTTGGGCGACGTCACGGTCTACGTCAAAGACCTCGGGTTGCAGATTGGTTGGCGAACCGTTTTCTACGTCGAATACGTGCGTAAGTCTTGTAATGGATCAAAGTCAGCCAAGGTTAACGTGTCCTCCATATCGCAGCTGGGGCCGCTTCTCATCAACCCCATTTTTTACTTCTTCCCCAAAATATACGCTTTCTACGACAACAAGCCCTTTGAACACAGCCAACTCCAGAGGTACGCTATCTTACACGTGTACCGGCTATGGGATCCGCTCATCTCCATTCAAGGTTGGTGTTTGGGATCGTAACGCTGCACTATTTGAAGCGCGAGTATGAGACTGCCTTGTAAGTGAGCAACCACCTGGCGACGGTCGTCTGAAATAGTTTGACTTGTTTTACTCGGTTTCCGCTAGTGTACATCGCTTCTCCCTGGATACTATGCCAATCCTAAACATCTTCCGAAAGTGCGTCGGACCAACCCGTCCTTCTTTCCCATTCTCACCCTTTCCCGCAGTTCGCTTTACTATTGGTTCCCAAGTGGTATGAACTACAGGCGTTGCTAACGAGGTGCATGAACTGATAGCTCCTCCAGGCGTGTTCCTCTGTGGCGCAATGTACGGCCCTTGGTACTCCCAGGCAGCCCTCCAAGGAACGTTACGCGACGACCCTCTATGGCTGTATGGCTTGGCTTCTATCTGGGTGGTAAGCGGTCCACTTTTTACACCATGTATGAGCTCACGCCTGGGTTTCCTAGTATGCTGAAGTTTCCAATTTCATAACTCATCTCACCCTACGCGATTTGCGCCCCTCTGGAACGCGCCAACGCGGTATTCCACGTGGTTACGGCTTTGATATGGTTACCTGTGCCAATTACACTTTTGAGATTGTCGGGTGGTTGGCCGTGTCTTTGATGACTATGAATGTTGCTGGTATGTCGACTACGAGGTCGCACATCGACGAGACGCTCACTCTTGAAAAAATAGTCTTCATCTTCACTCTAATTGGTATCAATATGATGACCAGTTGGGCTATCAAAAAACACCTCAGGTATAAGAAAGAGTTCGGTACCGAGTACCCACGGCGTTGGGTGATCTTCCCATTCGTATACTGAATTACTTGTTCGTTGAGGAAATTATATAGTTCGATCTCTTGTATTCGTCATGTCGCATCACGTTGGGTGGCCCCAGCAAGATGAATGGCATCTTGGTGTTTCTAGGCTCGAGCAGGTCACGCGTAGATGCCAAATCGTCTATCTTACAGCACGAATAACTTAAATGACGGAA